ACATTACAGACCTTTCCCACCAATGCAGCATCTAGCAATGAATATCATTAATGAGCCGCCATGTTGTGGGATAGATGTACAGAGATGAATGGGCAAAAAGTGACTCTCCCCATTTTCCTTTTAAATGCAAGCTCTAGTTCACACAGAAATGCTCGTTGCACATTTGTTGTATAATTTTAGTTATCATACTGCAATTTGGTTTTTGCTTTCGCAGTTCTCTTGGAGAAAATAAAGAAATAGTGCTTTTAGCCCATCCATCACTGTACATCTATCCCACAAAATGGTGGCTCGTTAATGATATTCATTGCTAAACGCTGCATTGGTGGGAAAGGTCTATAGTAGTCATGTACAATAAAAAGGCCAACTAGCCACTATAACTTAGACTGACACCTCAACTTTATAGCTTCATGCCAAGTGACAGAAAATATTGTGTCTTTTCACAAGCATGTACAAGCATATTCGTGATTTTAATACAACTAAATGATGATTAGTAGCATACAAAAGCACACCAGTAAAAGAAGAAACATACATTACATAATTATTAAAGTGATACTCGTTTCTGAATGTGCTCAACTATTTAATTAAAACCTAATAAAGGACAATTAAGAGACCATACTTAAAATTATCACTAAACTATTTGATTTCCCATTATGACATGACTAAACTATACTATAGTAAGTTTCATTAGCATTATTCTTTCAGCAAAAAATCAATTACCTTTAGAAAATACAATAAACAATGACTCATGTCCTTTGCTAAAACATAAACATGTAAACATGTCATGTACCTAAGGCATATACAAGGTTTTCATTTAGTTCTACATGCTATCAAGTACATGCATACAGGCAGCATTTTACTTTGATCTTGTAATAAGCAGTACATTGCTATATCCTGTTCTATTTTTGGCAGCTACAAATGTTACATATAAATCCAAGCCAACTTGTGGTATATTCTGATGTTACAGGTAACATGCTGTCGAAATAGGATTTCTTTATTATGCAAAATACATGCATGTACTGTGAAACCAGAAATGCTGCCACAAAATACTTTATTGGTATCTAACTACTATGCGTAGCCATCTCTACTGCAGTACACAAAATGCTTAATTCCTTACCTCTTCCTGTGTCTGAACATCCCTCAGTTTAACTACACCCTGAGCCAGTACCTGATCTCCAATGATCACCATCATTGGTATTAACTCCTTCTCATGCATAATATTGCACTTGACTTTAGATTAACCTTGTACAACATTTCAACCTTTGAGAAGTGAGAAAATAAATAACAAATAGTAATGACAATATCGTAGGGCGCCTTTTTTAGGGCTGTAAATTTCGCGAATTTGCCTTAAAATCAATTTCATAGATTTAATTTTCGTGAATTTATGCCATCTGCCATCTTTTACCGTAATAATTTGATTTTTGCAGAAGTAAATTTTCGCAAATCTTCAAGAAATTGTGAATCTTTAAGAAATCGCGAAATTGGCGAAATGTAGTACTGCCCTTGAAAAAAGGCACCCTACAGTACATGTAATAATAGCCCAAAAGTAATTAAATTAATCAATGGTATCAATTAAGTGGGTGTGGCTCATACAATTATTTTCATTAATTTTTAGTTTTTAATAGCATCAAAACAGAAGATAAACTATTTTATCTCTCTTTCTCACCTTTATTCCTACATCCCACAACAAAGTACATATTTTCATTCTCTCACTGTACAAGTTCTTTTGGGTTGAAGCCACCATCACTTGAGTATCCTCATCTGACCCATTCCACCAGCCTATATACATTATAACAAGATTATTAGTTTTATTACAACATTATTCTTGCTACTCTGAGGATTTACTATTTTAGAGAAGTGTGGCCAAGGGGGTTCGTAAATTTTTAGCATTTCCCCCTTGAATGAAATCAGACAATGTGACAATGTCTGCCACACATGTATGCTGAATTTTAATACATGTGTAACAGTACAGTATGTAATTTAGCAATTATTACCATTGCTTTTGCTTCAGAGAATAATATTCTCTCATATCCTAGTACTGAATCCAATACAAGGGACCTGGTCAGGCAGAAACAGTAATTAACATAAAAAACGCAACTAATAATGTTGCTTTAAAATTACAACAAAGACAAAAGTTTACACTTTCGGCATGATACAACCAACTACATGTATAAGCAAACAAGCTATTGCAACTTCTTAAGTACCGCAATGTAGCAAAGCTGAGAGGAATGTACTGGTATGTGTAATATTTACAATAGAACTAGAAAATATATCAAGTTATAAAAGTAACTCGAGTACATAATTCATGAAAAATTATTCATAAAAGGTACATATACATGTACAAGCAAAATGTTATTACCTTTCTTCCTTTATACTGTCAAACATTCCTTCTAGGTCGTCATAGCGACCACCGCCAGATACAGAACCAACTGATAGAGAATCCTTTGATTTAGGATCAACTGATAGATTGTCTAAAGGGGCAGAGTTGATGTACACATCTAAGGATAAATGCATGTACAAGTATAAAATGAGATTGATCATTTATGCACTTTAACTTTTGAAGAGGCTTTTAAAGATTCATGAAAAATCCAGTTTTGAGCCAAATCAGCTCAATTGCATGCATATGCATCAGAAAAAGTTTCAAAAGTAAAAAATTCTCACATTTCTATTTTGGCAAATTGGGTCAAACTCAAAAGTCCCTGTCGGGACTTTTGTTCAATTTTTGAGCTACTTTAAAAATACATAAAAAATCCAATTTTGATCTGAATGAGTTGAAACTTTCTATGCAACATAAGTACATGTATATGCATCAGAAAATGTAATAAGAATGGATAATTCTCACATTTTTTATTTTGGGAAAATTGGGTCAAAGTGTATTTATTTACACATGTACATGTAATAGTGGGCAGAGCCACTTAATGCTCTACATTCATCTAGTAATAATTATTAGGTGTGGTTATCACAATTGAACCCATTCATGATGGAGTGTATCTTCCTTGCTTTCACCAGTCTTGCTATAATCTCATAGTGCTGATTCACCTCATTATGATTTACTAATCATATTCTGGCCCATAATTATGGCATGTATATGGTCTATAGTTGCAAAAGCCCTCTTGCTTATTGTCGCTTGTCTATGCTCAATTTCAACATTTTAAATTCAATATTATTATTAATGATCAATAAGCCAATATTAATAATAATTATTACACTTAAGCAAAAAGAGGCTTAAAGCAACAAAAATAAACTGTGCATGTCCTATAGTGTTGCATGACTCCTAAAGTTCTTGGCTTTTAGCTGCTGAGCTCTATTTCTGAGCATCACAATAGTGATAACAGTAATTATCAGCATTTTTGACTGCATTATCAGGATCGTTTTTAGCTAACTCCTTGCACTTGGAACGACCATAGTAGTCAGTACCACCAGATTCACTGCTACTGGTCACCTCCTTATACCGATATACTATTAGGTACCTCATCAATATTAATCAGCAATTAAACAAAACTGACCAATCAGAGGCTAGCTGCATGACATCATTTTGACACGAGACCTGAAGTTGAGGTGTCAGTCCATGTTATAGTGGCTAGTTGGCTTTCTTATTGCACATGACTACAGGAATTGAATGGACTATTATTGTCCAGTTGAGGTGCCAGTCAAAGTTATAGTGACTAGTTGGCTTTCTTATTGTACATGACTACTATAATGTGGTACCTCAATACAAGGATACAGTGTTAAAAAACTTATATACATGTGTGCTGTCCTCATGGAATAAATGAAATCAGTGGATACTCTTCAAATCGGTAACAAGCATGTACACCGTACAGCTATCAAGGTTGAACCAGCTACTAAAAATCAAGTTGTTTTAGCACATGCAGTCAAGTGTACCCATGTATTAAGCTCAAGTCACTATTACTTATAACTATAATTATATTAACTATATTAAGCCACTATAACTTGGACTGACACTTGACTGGACAATAGTCCATTCTATTTTAGTCACGTGACATGCAAATACCACAAACATGTACAAGCATATTCATGATTCTAATACAGTTTGAAAATAGATCAAACTTTCTACTCAGCATAAGGGCATCAATATCCATTAGAAAATAATAATAATAATAAAATTTGGGGTGATTTTGGAGCCAATTTTTTGGACAAAACCCTCTTTCCTAGCTCCACCAATAAGTCAAGATCCCTGTCCACCTGCTATAAAGAATGAAGAGATAATAAAGCACTAACATGATTAGAGAATTAAAGAAGTAGAATATTCCACCTTCTCCCCCCTAGTTTTTTCCTCTTCCAGTGGCTATGGCCAAATTACTTCTTTATTCATCAAGCCACTCTCATTACTACAGTAACTACACTCAGAAAATTTCAACATCAGTATAGCACCACCATCAACTTTATAAGTTGTTGCTATTCATTCTCAATCATCCATTCTGACCATTTATAAACTTATGTATTCAACTTTGTATAATAGAAGCAGCGTTTGCTAGCTGTTACTTTGATCTGCAGTCAATTTGGCAGGTCTCTTAAAACAAATGCAACTGTATATGTGCATGGGCTTACATTGTGGCCCAATCAGATATAAGATGTTTACAGTATACAGCACACTGTATCCTTGTATTGAGGTACTACATTCATGTGCAATAGGAAAGCCAAAACCAGACAATGTCTGCCAGACATGTACACACATATACTGAATGCCAAATTTCAAAACACGTGTAATTTAGTAATTAATACCTTTGCTTTTGCTTCCAAAATGGAGAATATTCTTTCATACCCCATTACTGAATCCAATACAAGGGACCTGGTTGCAGAGAAACAGTAATTAACATTAAAAATACAACTAATAATGTTGCTTTAAAATTATACAGAGAAGACAAAAGTTTACACGGTTTATATGTTCCTCATGTTACAAAATTTTAAAGCAAGGCAACTCTCATTATCAAACTACTACAAATCCACAAAATTTAAACAAAACTGGTTGTTGAGACAACTATTGGTATTTATGAGAGGCCATCTCATGATAGCCTTAGCATGTTTTATGAGAATAAAAGGAACATGAATGAGTGAAAGCTGGCGTAAGTTGTATCATAAGTTGTACTTTACCTTAAAAAATTTTTTTGGAGGGACTAGAATGTCTCTGTACTTTATCTCTTTAATAAGTAAATGACAATTTGTATTTAATGCATTACAAACCCACCTAATAGTTACCACAATGTGAACAGAATTGTGAACAATATGGCGATAATAAAATGTACATGTGCAAGTACAAGCAGAATGTTACCTTTTTTCCTTTACTGTCAAACATTCCTACTAGGTCGTCACAGCAACCACTGCCAGATATAGTGGAGTATCCTTTGATTTAGGATCAATGGAAGGATCGTCTAAAGGGGGCAGAGTTGATGGGTGGATTTAAGGACAATACAAAAAAGAATGAATGAAATTGATCATTTATATACTTTAACTTTTAAAAAGACTTTTAAAGAATCATAAAAAATCCAATTTTAAGCAAAATTAGCTCAATTGCATGCATATGTATCAGAAAAAGTTTTAAAAGTGGAGAATTTTCACATTTTAATTTTTGGTAAAAAGTCTCTGTAGTATTATAGTACGGGGACTTTTGTCTGATTTTTTGAGCTACTTTTAAAATTCGTAAAATCTAAAATTGATTGGAATCAGTTAAAACTTTCTACACAGCACAAGTACATACATATGAAAAAATGGAATAAAATAGAGAATTTTCTCTATTTCATTTTTGGCAAAATTTGCCAGAAGCGCTGCACTATAGTACAGGGACTTTTGTCTGATTTTTGAGCTACTTTAAAAATTTGTAAAAAAATTCAAATTTGATTGAAATCAGTTCAAACTTTCTACATAACATAAGTAGATGCATAATGCATGCTACAGTACATACCTATCAGTACTGCCTCGCAGTGTAACAGTCAAGACCAATGGCAAGACCTTTAGGTCAGATTATAACTAAATTAAAAGAGAATAATAATAATGATGATGATAATAATAATAATATTAATAATAATAATAATAATAATAATAATAATAATAATAATAATAATAATAATAAATGCTGTTAAATACCTACTATACTATTAATACTACATTGACAATGGAGTAGTGTGCTATACAGTAACCACCAGACTGAGCTGGCCCTCCTGTATAACCCAAGGTGGCCCAATTTGATTTTAGCTCAGTTTGGTCACCACATGATTTGCAATATCAAAATAAAGTCAGTCCTGGCCTAGCTGCTTTAAACCAGGCTGACCCTCTTACAAAAGCCAGAGTAAATTATACTTAGTCTCTCAATTACAGCTTCAAATACATTAAACGTAAAATAAACAAATTCATATAAAATGAGTCCTTATGTCTAAAAGTTTAAGTGATTAATCATCAAAAATTTACAGTTTTACCCATTCAAAATTACCATAGCTATATTCAAGCGTACCTTGTCCAATTTATCAAGGGCAGAACAGATTGGTTTGAATTTATCACCAGAAACACCACAGGCAGCAAACATACCATCTAATATCTTCCTATGATTTATCTATCAATAAAGAAATAAATGGAAATAAATAAATGAATGGAAATTAAAAAATAAATAGTAATCTACAATGACTGATGATGATAGCACGCACAAAATTTATTGTAGTATCACACTTGCTAACTTTTATTTAAAAGCTCCCAGTTTCAATTCTGGTCATTATCCTGAGACATTCTGAATCCACAAAAATAGATCTACTGATTGTACTCACGTGATAAGAACACGTTATGTCACGTGGTTAAATATTATAGACTATTTATATTCATAGCATAACTCAGGGGAAAATTGGGGGTTGGAATTTGGAAATGCTGTGATTACTGATTAGTCAGATGATACACTTTACACTCGACTGAGATAAGGGTAATATCCGGTAATATTACTACTCTTGGTCAGGCTGGTGATTCCCTGTGAAGATGAGTAGTTACAGATCTTACAGAAGTGACAGAACTAGACGTAGCGCTCATCCTACAACGAGCACTAGGGTAGTCTCGGCAGCCAGACCATTCTCCAGGCTACAACCCGAGACCATAGATTCCGAGACTAAACCGAGAACTAAACCCACGGTCACAGCCACAGGGAGACAGTACACCATCAAGGTAAACCATCTTCCTCTTGATACCAAGGAAAGGGAAGTGTATGAATATTACAAAGAGTTTGGATCCATTTCTAGTCTCAGAGTCATGCCCAGCTCCAATGAATCGTATGCTCTAATCAATTATGAAACTGAAACTGATGCTGAAAGGGCAATGAGGCATACT